AGGAAACAGGCTTGAATCAACATCTTGTGTACATTCTGTACAATCTCTGACACATACCCTCCACCTTCCATACGGAAGGCTGAATCAACTTTGACTTTAGTGTCATCCTCGTCGGCTGGTTTATCCTGTGCCTTCGCATCTTGAAGTATTTTCTCTGCATCAGCTTTAGGATCTGGCGTGACGCCTTCCCACAAGCCATCACTGGAAGTAAGAAAACTAAATCCCGAGTCATATTCCATTGGCTCCTCTGTGTCCTGTTATAGAAGAATTTAGGAGATGAACAGGAGCGACAAAGCAACGATTAGACTTTCAGAAAAGTCCTTCGTCTTGTTTAATTATGACCCTCTCGCGACTTCATCCCGAGCTCGGCCGCTTTGCGGCCTAAAACCTCACAGCTCGCTTCGCTCGCTTGCCTATTTTATCCTGAGACTCCTGAGGTCGAATTGTGGCAAGTTCAGCCAAAGATTTACGACTACAGATGTAATGGATCACTTGCCTGGTAGGACTTGAAAAGAGAAAAGTGCGTCTGTGGCACTTAGATGATCGATANTAAATATATGACGTTAGTCATCTCTATCCCGCTCGTCGCCCACCCGCTTTTTCGATCATCCCCACTGACCGAGAGCCTGGAACAGAACAGTGAAAAATTGAATATAAAGGCCCAAAATTTCATTTTTCAGAGCATTCAACATGAAACACCCTATTTAAGTAATCCCGAATAGTTTTCACTTGGATGGTCCCACATAAGTGTTTTATTCACAGAAGTTTTATCCACATTCATCACTGTGCTTCATGTTTAATAAACTATCCCAAATGAAAACACTTCTCAATACCCTTCATTTACATGGTCACACTAGGGTTTCACTCACAGACTTAAAAACGTTAGAAACAACTTGTACAACATAACAAACAGCACTACATGAAAGTACAACTCAGCAGCTTTCACACAGTCGGTGACATGCAAGGGTTTCATTCCCAGACTAGGACTGGTAAACACGGCCGATGCTTGAATTATTCACTGAACTTTCACTTGCAAGCTCTTACACTCATCGACAAACCTAACTCTCAATATTAGGTCTGACAATGGTACATGAACATAAGTCGACATGACGCTATCTTACTTAATTTCGACTCCATCGCTGTGGAATAAGAATTGGATTATGGCATGGAGCTGTTGCTGTATTGTCAATTACCTTTGGGAAATTGACTGATGCTCCATGTTTCAGCAGGTCCATAACTACTTTCTCACTGTTTGACAACGCGGCCTCAATCAACGGAGTGGTGGTGTCATGGCTCCCGCTATCTCCTTTACTGTCTCGAACACTGTAACAAACGTCCAGTTTCTTTACGTGGCAGTTTGCCGGGCTTACGAAAAACCTTGTGATTGCAGGAAAAAAATTGTTACTTAATGTAAGCACTTCAAAAAATATACATATACCCATAAAAAACGCTGTAAGAAATTCACCTTGCCGAGTCAACCTACTACGCATGCGCATTACACAAACATATGGGACAAAGATTGCACTGCATAGCGTTGAATTACTTTAAATCCACAGTTTCTTCTACTTTTATGGGTAAAACTCTCCATAAAAATATAACTTGGACGAAATTCTTGTCTTAACCTGGAAATTGAATCTTGATTTCAAGTGTGTACCGAGCTATTGTAAACCACATGTATCTCTCCCACATCTTCCAAAATGGACTACTGTCCTGTTCAAAGTATTGTTCTTCAAGATCAGACGTTTACTGTTGAAGTTATTTTTTCAATTTTCAAAAATCATGAAAAAGATTGACCACCTGTTCCACACTTACGATGGATCCAAAAGAGCGCAACGATTTTTTATTGACCTCTTCATATTTTGAACAAAACTTACTCCACAAGGGTTATTATTCCACTTTCCGTCTTGGAAAACACTGCGGCAAACGGAGTGACTCCGTCGTTGTCAGCAATATCCAAGGATGATGGGGATTGTTCTGAAAGAAAACAAAGCAGCAAAGACAATGTAACTTCCATGGTCAGGCTATAGAGAGACCTGGTACGTTAAAATACGTAGCAATTTCAAAAGGGAAAGACATTGGCTGCGCAACAGAATTTGAACAAAGAATCTTTTGATGCACAGAAATGAACAGATCTTTGACATCACTTCAAAAGTCGTGCACATGGCATTATTTCCTCTCCCTCTTATGCCAGCAACCCAAATCTATCACAGATCAAATATACCTTGGATCATATCAACAAATNGGAAACCTGAAAATAGAAGTTTACTAAGATAGAAAATCACCATAGAGATAATAATAAACCATAAAGGAACATGGATGGTTAAGGATGGAGAAGATTAACACGGATTACAAACGACGAACTTGAAACATTCAGATGCGCAAACCGTTACTTAGCTCCATTAATGTTTATGATTGTTGAATGACTCACTGTTTTTCATATGTTTTCCAGTCCTCTGGTGTAAGGGGTCTTATAACTGGACAAGATGGTGGTGCATTACTCTGCATAAACATCATGGCACAACTAACGTACGGAAAACAGAACAGCTTTACAACAAAAGTAACGAATGAGTGCGAGAGGGCAACTTTTAGTGTCATCGATCGACTGCGGTTTTCTTAAGAATTGCTAAAATTAATGATGTTTTTGGTTTTGGTGTACTAATCTAGATCAAAATGGCTTTCAATGGGCCACACAGAAGCAAAACGTATAGAGAGAAGCAATTTAAGCCAAGTTTCAAGGATGCTATATCTGTTTTGGTGTGTTCTTGAAATAGCTTTTTCATGTAACACCACTTTGGCCAATGCAAAACGCTGTATCAGAACAACGAATCTCCTCTTCTTTAGAAAAACATTGAATGTACTCTTAACGGTATCCAACATTAGCTTCTGTTCTAAAACAGCAACAACAAGAACACAACTCTGAGGACGAAGCTCGAAATCATACATGCCTAGATTACTAAAATAGCAATAACAGTACCCATCATGACGCTCACGAAGAGCTAATGACAGTGGAGTGTTCCCGTCATTGTCTTTAATCTCAAGTGATCCCCCTTTCTGTGGAAAGAATGACAGGAATTGAATTTTTCTGCATGAATAGATATCATTAATAATACCACGGAAGACAATTTAGCCTTCTGTTATGTAATTCGTTAATTAATAGAAACTACAAATTCGCCTCTGTCAGGACCCTCCCCCGCCCCCCTCAAAATGACTTGCTGGAGATAAGTCAGTCCTCTCCTCCCCAAAGACAACAACTCTTTTCTTAATTAACCCTTAATAGCTTGGGGATGAGGGCCATAAAGGATTGTCGATGATTTCAAACTTGCTTACTTAAAAAATATCCACGCATTAATAACCAAATTCCTGAATTTTCCTAAAAACCCATTGGGAAACATTTTGGTGTTTCAATTCTTTGCTCATATTACTTAACGTAAAGGCGAATGACGTTAACTCCAACAAAATTATTGCGCTCAGATTTCAGGTAACTCTCCTAGCTGATGGATGAGAACAAAACTATCATCAAGGGTTATTAGATATTTCTCTACCTGAAGAAGATTGAGAGAACAAATTGTGGCACCCCTGAGAGCTGCCCTGTGGAGAGGTGTCTGTCCAAAGTTGTCCTGATGGTTGACCTGTGTCTTGGCATCTTTACCCTGCTCCGTTATTGCCTCACACAGCAGGCTGACAACAGATATCGGATCAGACATGCTGTAATCGGTGTGCCTGTGGGAAAATAAACAGCAAATACAGTTTATTGTGTGTTAAGGCATTTAAGTGTTTCTATGAAAATTTGCATGCTTATTTGCTTCTGACAAAACAATGCCTCGACAATTCAAGGGGTTAACCCTGCGATGGACTAGCATCCTATCCAGGGGGGAGTAGAATACTCCTGGTCACTTCCTGCTACAGAAACCGGGATAAGCTCACGTGGCTTGCAAGCATTTCAAGTAATACAGCATATCAAACACGAAAGGCCGTGTTTAACACATTTCCAAAGACCGAGAAGAAAGTTGAAATACGACACGTATCGGAACACTTTTGACGAGCTTGGAGGCGTTTGGTAATGAACCTGTCAAACACTGTCTTGAGTGTTTGATATATCTTCTCAACCTCAATAAACAGAAAACAGATCAGACATAGAGTAATCGGTGTGACTGTGAGAAAAAGTACAGCAAATACAACTTAATGTGGTTTCAAAAGCGTGATGCTCGATACCTAGGTACAACAGGAGACTATTAACCAGCCAGCTCACCCATTGTTCATTTTCACAAATGCGTAGTGAAGAGGGATCCTGTTGTGCAAATCCAGTGCAACTGTGTTTGCTCCATATTTGATCAACAAATCCTCCACCTCGGTGATTGTCTCAAAGCCCCCTGTTGTATAATTTATGGAATAATGAAGAGGAGTCCGTTGCTTCTTATCTGCACTGTTCACATCAGCACCCCCGTCAAGTAATGCTGTGCAGAGCTTCAGAGGGGTAGAGTTGGTGTCTGGCACAGAAAACAAGAAGGCACAATGCAATGTTAACTTGACACTACAGACAAGGTACTAAAACTTTCCACCAAGGCAATTACAGTGCTGCTTGAAGCGCACCTAAACCAAAGCCAAAATGATGAAATTACTTGCAAAAAATTTGAGGCTGACTAGGGTCCTTTAAAGACTCCTGATATTTGAAAAATCCCGGTAAAATGCTAAACTGAAGAATGGGACACTGAAATGAAAAACGCAATCAAGTTTCTGATTTTGCGGAGAGTTAAAGTTTGGCTTCCTTTGACCAGAATGACCAACTGTATAACAAGCAGCAAAGGGTACCATACCAATCTTATTGGTGACTGCCCATGATAGAGCGGTGCGTCCAACGTTGTCAGCAATATTAGGATCTGCCTTAGCATGTAACAAGTCTTGCAGGGTAGTAAGACATACATTGGCTGGTCTGCAAAACAAAACAAAAATGTCATCATAGCTTTACACAAATCGTGCCTCTGCATTTAATTCAAAATTACGACAAAATTGAAACTAAACTTGCTGATAAGAAATGTCCATGTGAAGTGTATTCTGCGTAGGGTTTTTCTTAATCACATTTTACTCGCTTTCCACTAAATGCAAAACAATCTGTGCACATCATCAATCTCGAACTCAGAACAGGATTACTAAATACATTAGACCCCCATCAAAAGTGTTTTTATCAAACCTTTTTGCTTGCAATTAACTAAAAGCCAGAAAAACTGCCTAAGCACTGAGGACCCGTCCACACTACGCTGGAGAAATTTGAAATCGGTGTTTTCACTCTCCATTTGAAAACGCAACAATCGCTGGTCATTTTGGATTTGTGTGTGAGGAAACTCCGACAAGGAAAACACATAATTATCGTCACGTCATCGTTTTCGAAAAGCTCCGTTTTTAAAAATGTTTTCCGTCCACACTAAAACGCAAAGCCAGCGTTTTCAAATTCCTCCAGTTTGAAGAGCGTTTTTGAAAAGCTCCGTTTTCGTGACAG